TAGATTAGTTGTTATTACTACTACTTTTATCTTTTACTTTTATTATTTTGAAGCATGGCTCTTTACTCTTGCTTTTCTTGTTTTTAAACATAGCGTTACTTGTGTTTTAATTTTACTGCACTGTTTCTTTATTTTTATGATTATTTTTTCTGCCAGTACTAATATCTTTAATGTCATTCTTTTGTTTGCAGATGCCACAAGTAGTGCAGGCGGTCAACCATCTCATAGACCTTGTGTTCTGGGGACCCTTGAGACCACTTACCGTAGCAGGAACGGAGGTCGTCTACTCTTATCGATGTTTCCACAACTGTTGCACCTCCTCTGACACCTCCAACCCCACCGACTGTTGCTACACCTCCTGTGGCGCCTCCTCCCCCACCACCTGCAGCTACACCTCTTGCAGCACCTCCTACACCACTTGCTGTCACCCCCCTTTGGCAGCTGTTCCCACACCTGATGCTGCCCCGTTTTGAGAAAATTTGGTTGAAATCTGAATAGGCTCCATGCCTTTTCCCTTTGTTCTCATTCAATTAAATAATAATCTTACAATTTATTTTAGGTACAGAATATTCTATAGAATCTATTTTAGGTAACTTAATAATACATATTCCTAATCTAAATATTCATCTAAAAGAGAAATAAATTAGAATAAAGACAGTGAAAATAATTTAAATAAAGAAGCTCCTAATTATAGAAAACTACTAATTTAGCTGTTTCATTTCTGTCCTTCCTGATTGACAAAGGGTAAATGACATCCTTTGTCAGTATCATATGGAGGTAATCCTATATAAATTAAGCTTTTACATTTTCGAGACAAAAAATCCTCAAGCCTTGAGTGCCGAAGCCGAGAATGTCGAAGCCTCAGGAACTCTTGAATCAAAACATGATTTGAGCAAAGAAAAGCAAGAAATCCTTTATTATTGTCGTCCAGAAATTCGAATCATAGCAGAAATTCGAATCATAGCCCAAGAAAGATCCATTTCTAGTTACACGATCCAAATGCTACCGATCATAGCTTACAAATAAGATCTAGTTACACAATCCAGATGTTATAGATCATAGCCTACAAATAAAATCTACGTGTTGATCTAAATGCTACCGATCATAGCCCACAAATAGGATTCAGTTACACGATCCAGATGCTATTGATCATAGCCTGCAAGTAGGATCCGCGTCCTGATCCAAATGCTACTGATCATAGCCCACAAGTAGAATTCGCGTCCTATCATACGATCCAAATGCTATTAATTCTTCATAGCCCACAATTGGGAACCACCGAAGCCATCCATCTGTCCATCGAGCTACAGATTCGATCTCCCACCACTCCCAGCTACCCAAGGAAGGCTTCGAGTAGGAGAGGACCAGAGCTCTAAGGCTGGCGCGAGGGAGGAAGGGGTCTCCGGAAGAGCTGAGAAGGTCGACGACTGGCTGTTCGCTGACGAGGAGGAGCACCAGCCGGAGAGCCCAGGCACGTCAAGGAGAGGACATAGTCGTAGTCGACGATCGAAAGAGGACTGCGCAACCGAAGCGAACTAAGGAGGACGGAGCAGCCCGAGACTAAGCAGTAGAAGGAGAATCGAAGACGGTGAAGCAAACGTAGCGGATAAAAATCCTTAGATGGGCGAAAGGGAAAGAAATAGTTCCTCCCTTCCCGCTTGAGCCTTAACGTTCCTCCAATAACTACCGGTGGTAAAGGCAAAATTTTGACTCTAATATCATGTCAAAGTTTTGAGAAAAATATGTTGAATCCTGAATAAACTCGATCCTTTATCATTGTCGAGGAATCTATAGTGTGCATGACTGATTAGTTTCGTCCTTCCT